CCTCGTAAAAACGCCGCCGGTCGGCGTTATCACGTTGGTCAGGAGCACCTGCACCGTGTTGCCGCTGGCGCGCTCGCGGTGTTTTCCAGACATTATTTTCTGGGTTGCGACGCGGCGTGGCGCGGAGAATTGAACGCGCAAAAGATGAAAGATGCAGCTTCTTTTCGTTTGCCCCGGAGCAAGTTGCCTGCGGCTCAGCAAGTGGAAAAAATGATACTGCAAGTCGCCAGTCCATGCAAGCGGTGCTGTGCTCCAGGCCGAAGGCTGTGAACAGGGCCAGTCGGTATGCCTGCCCTTTATTCACTGACGTGCGGCCCCGCGTCCCGGAGCTGCAAATATTCACTGGGGCAACATCCTGCGGCGCTGCCCCTTACAGTGTTTCGTTCTTTTTCTTCTTTTTTCTCTCTCCTCTTTTTCTCGGACTTTTTTCCGTCAAGCCGCGGTGAAACAGGGTGAAACACGCGACCGGTCCCTACGCGCCCGGCGCCCAACGGGCGTCGGACAGGACATCGCCCTCCAGCGGCGCGCTGGCGTACGCGTCGCCAACGTCGGTGGGGAGTTGGCAGAGGCTCGCGGCGAACGCTCCCTGCGCTGCGACTGGGAGCATCTGCCCCCACCGGCGCCTGTACGCGGCTGCGACCGCCGTGCGCTGCGCCGCGGGGCTGGCGAGAGCTCGGCCCTGCGCGATGCGGTGGAGGAAGGCCTCAGTCTCCTCGCCCCACCTCCCTCCAACTTCGAGGGCCAGCACCGTCAGGCGACACCGCCGGGCTCGCTGGAACTCCGGGTAGGTTACCCGATGCTTGCGCTCGGCCGCGGTTCGCAAGGCGAGGCCGGGCTCGTGGTCGGCGCGCGGCCGGCGGCTGCCGTCACGCCGAAGCGGGCTGACGAGCGTGACATCAACCGCCACCTGCACGCCTCCAAAGGCCGGGAGTCCATGCGCGACGACCTCGAGCCGGCGCGCGTCGGTCAATGGCAGCCCGAGGTTCAAGTCGCGGAGGAAGACGTTGGTCGCGACCCGAGCTCCCGCCTCCCGGCAGATGCGCGCCGCAGCGCGCTCCAGGGGGCAAGCGCGGCGGACCAGCACACCAGCTGTGGGGCAGGCTGCCCGGTGGTCTCCGAGCTCATCGAGGGCGCCACCGCAGCGGCAGGCTCGGGCTTCAAGTGGCAGTGGGAGGCGCAGGCGCCGGAGGAGCACGCAGCGGAAGGTGTCATCCTGCAGCGTGAACTCCTCGCGCGTTGGCAGCGCTGTGAGAGCAAGGCTGCCGCCTGGCCCAGCCTGGGAGAGCAGCTCCGTCAAGGTCAGAAAGGAGCGTCTCAAGGGCTCGTTGATCCAGGCTGGCGCATAGCCGCCTGTTGCCATCCCCGCGCCGCGTCGCTCGCCTCACCGGTGGCGAGCCCGTCCGCGAGGGCCGTCCACGGCGGCGCGTCGAAGCCCGCTAGGCGCAGAGCAGCCTCAGCCTGGGCCGCAGCCCGCGTCGAAGGCGTGGCGGAGGCGCCCCGCGGATCGGCCAAGCCCATCAGCATCCGCGCGAGCACACGCGGGTGCCGCTCGCCTATGACCGGCATGGCGTCCGCCCAGGAGGCCCAATAGGCCGCGACGCCGCGGCAGATCGGAGGCCAAGGCCGCCATACCGGAGTGGCAGCTGCGCACGCCTGGCCTGTAGCTGGGAAAGTTCGAAGGGCTCGTCCGTGCCGCTGAGAAAGCGCCCCAGGCAGCGGGCAATGGCCCGGTCGTGGGGCTCAGCGAACTCTCCCGTGTCAGCGGCGGGCGGCAGTACGCGGAGCAAGTAATTGCTCCGAGGCTGCGCGCGCAGGAGCAGGAGGCCAGGCGCTCTGCATGTGTGGCACCGTGGGAATGCGACCCAAGAGTTCGTCGTGCTTCTCCCTGACACGTCGCAACGCTCCCGCGATGTACGCGGCATGCCCCAGCGGCGTGCCCAAGACTGTGATGCCCTGCTGGGCTGGTGGCCTCGCCCAACTCCCTGGCCAAGCGTCAGCACGCGCGGCGGCGGGGAGCGCATCCAGTAGTGCACTGGGTTCCTCGCCCGCGGCATTCCATGCCCGCGTCTTGCCCAAATGGACGCGGATGTTCGCGCGCTCCTAGAGCGCTGTGCCGAGGGCCGTAAAGGCGGGCCCGGCGCGCTCGGGCTGGCAAGTGACATAAATGTCATCCAAGTACGCGTGCAAGTCCTCCCCCGGGGTTAAAGCCGCGTGCGCTTGGAGCAGAGCGGGATGCTGCCCCAGCGCGTATAAGGCGGGCATTAGCCCCTGCTCTCCTCCCTCGCCTTGTGCGATCTCGTGCGCGGCACCCTCGGCGTCGTAGAAGACGTAGGCGCTCGGCTCAGCGTACAAGCCGCTCAACATGCTTGCGCGCGAGATGTGGTCGTAGGCCCCGACCCCGTCTATGCTGAGGACCGTGGTGCGGGCGTCGAGCTCGGTGGCTGCGCGCACCGCGCGGGCGAGGGACTCAGCCCCCGCTCGAGTCCGCAAGGCATACTGGAATGGCGCGCAAGCGGCTTGGAAAGCTCCAGCATACTGCTGGGCCAGCGTGCGGGCCACCAGCCGGCGGAACGCGTCGCTCATGACTGCCGGTCGCCGCCTCTGCGGCGGCGTCAAGTAGGTCGCGGCACTGCCCCGCGGCAAGCATTGTCTAGCTCCGCGCGTGGCACGCGCGTTTCCCCACGCCCGCGATATAGCAACATGCGCGGGGCGAGGAGGAAGAGCTTCCAGCCTTCCGCTGAGCTCGGGTCTCGCTGTACCTCGGTCAGGCCGGCGGTCAGCGCGGCCTTCAGGGCACCGCGCATTGGGCCGGGAGGCGACTGCAGCGTGTAGACTCTCCTGCGCAACTCGTGCGCCAAGTCGACCTCTCGCATGGCTTGGAGAGGGTCGCGCTGCTCGCCGGCGCTCGGTGGGGCCGGGGGGGCGACTGCGTTTGCCGGCGCTGCCCGCGCGTCGGCTTCGCCCTCTGCGCGCCTCTGGCGGCGCGGGCGTCTGCGGCGGCGTGGGGCGGCAAGCCGGGCCGCCGCTGCAACCGCCGCATCGTCCCGGGGCGCCAGCGCCGCTGGTCCAGGGCACGGCATTCTGCTGGCGAGGTCGGCTCCCGCACTTGCAGCGTCCGCCGTTCCTGCAATCTCCGCAGCGAGGCTGGCTCCGCCGTACAGCTGCAGCAGCGCTTCCTGGAAGGGCGCCAGCGAGTAGCCATCCGGGGCCTGACAGCGCGCCACAAGTAGCGGGAGACTGCAAGGCGCGTCGCCCCGCATGCCTTCAAACGCTTCGTGGGGCCACCATTGGACGGGCCTCGCGTCCAGAGCCTGGTGCAGTGATACGGCTGCGCGGGCCTGGTCCAGCGCGACAGGGGGCGCGCCGCGCAGCTGCGCGAGCCAGCTCCCCCAATGCGCGCCGAGCAGGCCACTTGGAGTTGGCCGGCCGCGTCCAGCAATAAGGGCACAAACAACCAGGACCAGGGAGCGTTTTGGGCTGGCAGGTGCTGCGGCGGCCCTCGGCGTGTCCAGGACGCCGGCGCGACGCCTTCCACCGATGACGGGGGCGTGTCCGTTCCACTGCCCACTGGCCGCCCAGCGTGGGCTCTGCTACCACACTGGCGCTCCTCGCCGGCCCGTGGAGTGTAGAACTCGATGTTCTCGGTCGGGTTCAGGCCCATCTGCGCCAGTGCGTGGAGGGCGCGCTCGCGACGCCCTGGCGCAACCGGTCCAGGGTTGCTGGCCTCCCCGACCCGCAGGGAGGCCCACGGGTTTGCGGGCCCCTGGCGCCTTCTTGCGGGCTGCAGTGCTCTCGTGCTGTTGTCCGCCCTCGGCCGGCCCCACCCCCCTTCCCTCCTCGAGCGTTGCAAGCGCACTTTTTTACTGCGGGCTCGGGGATGGTCGGCGGTGGCCGGGATACCCGAGGTTCAAGTCGCGGAGGAAGACGTTGGTCGCGACCCGAGCTCCCGCCTCCCGGCAGATGCGCGCCGCAGCGCGCTCCAGGGGGCAAGCGCGGCGGACCAGCACACCGGCTGTGGGGCAGGCTGCCCGGTGGTCTCCGAGCTCATCGAGGGCGCCACCGCAGCGGCAGGCTCGGGCTTCAAGTGGCAGTGGGAGGCGCAGGCGCCGGAGGAGCACGCAGCGGAAGGTGTCATCCTGCAGCGTGAACTCCTCGCGCGTTGGCAGCGCCGTGAGAGCAAGGCTGCCGCCTGGCCCGGCCTGGGAGAGCAGCAAAGCCCGAGACGCTCCGTCAAGGTCAGAAAGGAGCGTCTCAAGGGCTCTTATTTTCCCTCACGCCTTTTTGCTCCTGCAGTTCCCCCACCACCCCTGCCAAAGGAATGCTGTTGTTGCGGGGGCCAACTCCCCTCGTGCAGGGCACTGCCGCGCGGAAACGTCAAGCGCATCAAGGAACCCCGCAAGCAGGTCGCTAGCATCGGGATCGGGCCCATCAAGGTAGCTGAGGCCAGGCGACGGCAAACAAGTCAGGCGGCTGTGGAGGCAGCTGCCGAAAGCAAACCCGACCATCAGTGCACATAGGCGCTGCGCAAAGCAGGTCGCAATACGGCAGGCGCCGCGCGCGCCTTGGCCTGGGCGAGCAAGCGCAGAAAGTCCGCTGCCTCGGTGCTCCAGCGGCCCCCGATCTCAACACCGCTTACTGTGCCTGCAAGCATCCCGACGGGGGGGTGGGGGCCTTGGGGCCAAGACTTTTTGCGCAGGAATGCTGCGCAGGAAAAATGCGTGGGAAAAAACCAGCGACATGGCGCCAATTCTGTCGTCCAGAAATTACGGATGGGCTTGCAGATGGGCTCGAAACATGTTAGGGAGATTGTGGCGCGTTTGCCCAGCCAGTGGTAAGCAATGAAACGCACATCATGCGACACCAAATGCGAAAGAAATATAAACAACAAACACAAACCACAACCATTGGAACACGTGACTTGCCGCACCCGTAGCCACAGCAGCGTGCCATCATGACTCATATCACTACAGCGGGAAACGGTTACAGCTGAACGTGTTTTCGTGCAGCCAAAACATGCTGCACACGATGGCCATGTCATGCACGCATCCGGGACTTTTCGGTTCCTCCTGTGCTTGCTCAGTGGCTCGGCGAGTATTCGGTCTAGACGGGTCGCATACACGGTTTCCGCCTGGAATTTGAAAAGTATGAAGGTGGTGGATGGACCTGACCCAAGCCCCTGGGCCGGGTGGAAGTGCAAAACCAACATATGATGTCAGGTGTTTTTTTTTTGGCAGTTGCAATGCCTCCCGACATGTAAGCACAAGTTCTTGCTTGTTGGATTATATTCTGGTAAGTACCTAGACATGTTTCCCTCGAATCTACCATGCAGGGGCGTGATTTTGAACACGGTAATGTTGCGGCCATTTTTCTGAACAAGAAACATACAGGTTTTGCCCTGGTCACTCGCCAGAGTCGAGTCGACTCGAGGCCTGTAAACCTGCGTGGGAAATGGGAGAATTGTTCCAGGCAATCTCAGCTCTTAAGCCCCTTTGGCAGGAGTCGTTTCTTGTCGCCTCCACCCTTGGCGCTAAGGCGCTTTTGGGCTCGGACACGGGCAGGTGGCACGGAGCTCGGTTTTCGGGGGAGGTTATGACTTGGTATGAGTGGTTATCGATTCCGGATGTTCGTTCTGCTTTCAACTTGCCGCATTTGCGATGATTTGAACACAATTTGCACGCGAGGTTGGGGGCAATGCTAATTATACGGTATGCGGTATGCGCCATTGGTTTTGGCAATTTTTGAGCAAGCTTCACCAACAGTGATTTTCATTCATAGCTCGCAGCTCGCCCGTAACCGCACAATTATTCATGCAGTTTGAGCTTAGTTTTTTTTTTGGAATGCTCGCTTTTGCTGCGAGGTGGCGAACGCATGATGATTTGCCACTCAAACGCTGCACGATATTCAGAGGGCGCTAGAGGCTTCCATCTCTCTCACCGGCTAACGTTTTTTTTTTTTTTTCTTCTTCCTCTCCGAGTGCTCAGATCTGCGCAACTGCAGCGGAGAGGGGGACCTAACTGTAGTGCGAAGTTTGGTGGGTTCCATGTCAGTTGGGAATACTCCAAGGCTGAGAATCGGCAATGGCGGCTCGTCAACGCCGAGTCGCGCCCTGAGTGGGTCCCGGAGTTTGCTCACACGCCATGTTCAACCTGGCAAGCAAGTTCGGTAACCTCAAGTGGTTGAACTCGCATTTGTCTTCTTCCCTTTTGTCTTTTTGTCAGTTCCACTTTTTCGTCTCAGGCTTTTTTAGGACTACCCCCTACACCCAATACCCACTTTTTTCAGGGTATGATGTCGACCCTCTACTAGAAAATCGATCTCTGCCCTGGAAAGCTGGTTCAACGGTTTCTCCAACACAGACTCAGTGAAAAAGCTCTGGTCGGTATTTGATGTAGGGTTCGACCCGTACTCAGCTCGGCCCGGCACGGGGCTTGACGGCCTGCTCGCGTTTTTCGCGCGCGCGAGCGGTCGATCGATCACTCCGATGGAGGCCGCTGGTGGGCTTCTGGTCTGTGGCCGGGGGTCCTGTCGTTGACTTCCGTTTGCTGCAAGGTATTTTTTCCATTTCCTCGCTTTCCCCGGTTTGTTCTAAAGGGAGTCGATTTCACGACCGGACGTGGTTTTCAGGCTTGGGTGTTTTTTTTTGGGCACCCTTCACCATGCCATGAAAACCTGAAAGGTGGGGTCGTAAAGAACGATTTTCCCAAGGCGAAGGACGGGTCTTATGGCACCTGAAAGGTTGGTAAGGGAAAGAGCAAGGGTCAGGCGAGCTCAAACTGGGTCCTTGCATGTTGAGTTCTCAACAGTTGGAGGTGGCTTTGCAAACGGGGGTCTTTTGGGGTCCAAGGCCATGTTCTGAGACATACCCCCCAACACCCAATACCCAGGTAGCGCAGGTAGGATGTTGGCCCTCTAAAAAAATGGTTTGGTATTTACCATGGAAACCTGAAACCGGTTCGTCAATAAATACCAACTAGAAAAAGTAGGCATCTGGAGTGGGGTACTTGAGACATCCAAAAAATATTTTGGTGGACCCGGGGGTGTTCGCAGGTGGAGAGAGAGGGGAGGTGGCCGGCTCAACACCTCCGGGGTTGGCACAACAAATGCGAGGGGTTTGAGCCTTGCAGGCTCGTTCTTGCCCCTTGTACCCCCTACTCAAAATATCCGCTCTTTTCAGTTGGTATTTTTGGAAGAACCGATCGGTCTTCCATGGTAAACACCAAACCTTTCTTAGTAGAGGGCCGACATGATACCCCAAAAAATGAGGGTATTGGCGCGTTTCAAAGGGCCGCGACCGAAGGGCAATGTTTCAGCCCCGCCCCCCCCCACACACACTCCCGGTGCTTGCAGCGCCTTTGCTGCGTTTGCCGCGTGCAAGGTGGAGGTGGAGTTCCATTCGCCCCGGGGCTTGGAAGTCGCGACGGTGTCCAGCGCCGGTTTGAACCACTCGCCTGAAGCAGTCGATTCGATTGGCTTTCCCAAGCAGCAGGGGGGTCCAAACAAAAATCGTGTCACTGAAAAGGTCACCTGACCAATCTCCAACTAGGGAACCTGACCAAAGACCCTGGTATTGTAGACCCCCAGCCCGAGAGGGTCTTGTTGGTGCCCCCTATGTTTTGGTTTTTGAAGACCGATGTGTGGTGGTCGTTGGCTTAAAAATCCCATCACCCAGCCACTGTCGGCCTCCAAAGTTGGGCAATGGAAAGTTGGAAAGACCTCCAGATACCCACCTTTTTCTAGGGTATTGATTGAACAACCGGTTTCGGGTTTCCATGCTGAATACCAAACCTTTTTAAGAGGGCCGACAAATCAGACCGACTGAAAAAAGCGAGCCGGGGATTTGGAGGTTACGAGGGTAAACCAGTTGTTTTTTCAAAAATACCCTGACAAAAAAGCATGTATTTGGAGGTTTTCTTGGGGTATGTGTTGACGCAAGGCACTTGCTCTAATTACCCGGAAGGTGGGTTCCAGAATCCCAACCACAACTGACCTTAGCGCCTTGGATCTCTGTGGGTTCTGGGCTGAAGAAGAGTTGGTAACCCCAAAACATGGTTGTTGTTGGGAAACATTTTCCCCATTTTTGCTTGGTGTGGTTTAGTGGTTGAAATCCAACCACTGAACTGCTAAGAAATTACATTTTTTGCTCCCCTTCCAACGTCAACCAAGAAAAGTGGACCAAGTGTCTGGTCAATGGAAACCACCTTCTCAACCTGCGGTCCGATCCGATGGCTGGTGGAACTTTCACCCAGTTTATGGGGACATGCAGCCGCGAAAACAAGCCACGAGAGAAAGGGTAACAAGCCAAAATTCGCCCTGGGTAAATAGACACATGGACGATTCAACCTCCGGTCCGGTGAAAATTTGACCCATAAGTTTGGGATATACAGCCACGAAATATCAGCCACCATATAAAGGGTACCCCGTACTCCAAATACCCGCTTTTTTCAGGGTATTTTCTTGGGAAAACGGATCGGCTTTCCATGGTAAATGCCAAACCTTTTTTAGTAGAGGGGTCGACATGATATGAACTGAGCAAGGAAAAGCCGGGTATTTTGAGTGGGGGGTAGCTTTACCCCAATTCGCCCTGGGCCCTGGAGGTGCCATGCGGTTCTAAGCATCCTTCCGAGGACCGGAAGCTGCAATGAGCAGGTGGAGGGCGCCCCCATCGCGTCAGGCCGAGAAAAGGGGGATGGGATTCTTTCTGGGTCTCTAGCCAACACAGGCCAATACCTGGTGTTTTTTTTCTTTTCTTTTTTCTCCCTTTTTGTTTGGAACAATCATAGCGGGAGATCTGAATATGTCTCTCTTTTTGCTGTGTTTCGCCCAGATGCTGGGGCGCAAAGGACATCCCGCTTCTATCTTTGCTGGCGCAAATTTGGGGAGTTCTGTCCATAAACTAAAATCATTCGGAAGAAAGGACGATACCACCCGAATATGGGGAGGGAGAACCTTGCCATGAAATGTCCAATTTCTTCCTGCCACACCAGGGCTTTCTTGTGGCGATGCATAGTGAAGCCGGAACAACATTGGTTTGAGCAACCTCCTTTTTGGTTTCCCTTTTTCAATTTCAACAGAAGCCAAACCCTGCACGGGGGCCAAAAAAAGGCAAGGAGAAGAGGCAGATGAAAGCAGCCCTGCTGTGCTGTTGCTTCCAGCGGGCTTTGCTCAAGCCGGCGGCTCTCTCGCACGCTGCGGTTTTGGCACTCGCGGAAGCGGGGGCCATTTTGGCACTTGCGGAAGCGGATCGGGTTTTGTCTTGACTTGCCCAGGATCTGTGATGATCAGCCTGACCCTGCCTCAGCATCGAGCATGTTGGCCCGGATCAAAGTAACCTGCCCCCTCAGGTGCTGCCGCGTAGAAGCCTCTCCCAAATTGGGACGCCCCCCCCCCAAGGGTCAATGAATCCCGTGCTCGCCCAAGGCCTTGGGCTTGATGTGGGCTTTCATGGCTCATGTCTTCGGCCGGTTGACGTATGCAGCTTCAATGGGAATCTCCCTGACCGCGTTCGTGGGGTTCCACTCACGAATCGCATCTTGAGAAGCCAGTTTGCTCGGTCTGGGGGAGGGCGACCGATAAAGTCGGATCCTGCCTAGATCGCCAAGTTGCTTTTTCGCTTCTTCTTTTTTCAGGGCCACTGTTGCGATGGGAATTCTTGGGGTAAAGTTCATGGACAAAAAGAAAAAACCAACTGGCGATCCAGGGTGGAGCCGATTTTTTTGAGAAGCCGAGGGTTTTGGGGGCTGGCGGTTCCTCCCCCCGCGCCAGAGTGGGCCAGCTTCCGGCTGAGGTCCGGGAGCCACTTTGTGAGCAAGGCGGCGGACGGCAACGCTACCCCGGCGCGGGTCCGCGGACGCCGAAGCGAGCCGAAAACGGGGGGCTATGGGGAGCATCGTCGGGACGATGGCCTGTTGGCTCGCGGAATGTTTATCTCAGCGCCGGCTGGTCGTATGGGATGAAGGCCGCCTCCACACAAAAATGCGACTGTTTGCTGGTTGAAGCAAATGAAAGGGAGGACACCCTTTGGCAAGTTCCAGGTATCTCGAACATTGTGACCCCAAAAAAAGGATCGAATTTGTGGAATTTCCTTTTTTGGCTTCCCCAGAATTAGTTCCCCCTTTTACTTCTTTTTTTTTTGGAGTCTTTGTCGTTTTCCACTAACCAAAAAATAACACATGTCTTTTTATTTTGCTGGGGGCCCAAAGACAGCCTTGGACGTTTGGGACCCTTAGCTTCTACAAAGTTAGCCCCGGATCAATGAATGCCTGAATTGTGAGTTGTCCTCTCGCTGGCTCAGCATGAATCACTACCATCCCCTGACAGCTTTCTTTGGAAAGTCTAGGCTCATTCCCCAACCGTCTTGTGGATTCCCTGAGAAGAGGGTCCCTTAAACGTTTTAGCCGCTGATTCGGAGGATCCGACTCCGAATCGCAGGTGGTGCTTGGACGTATACAGCAATCCTGGGAAACCCGCCTGGAAAAAGGCGAAACAAGTCGGGGTGCGGGTCTTTTTGGAGGAATCGGACCCCTGAAGCATGTGAAGATTTCCCTTTGCTTTCCCTCTCCAGGAAAGTACCCCTCAAGAAAAAAAGAACCGCTCAGAGTACCCAGGTACCCAGATGAATGTTGACCCAGGATAAATAAACCCGTCCCATAAAGAAGGGGGGTGTTCCCTCCAGAAGTGGTCTGAATCCAACCACTAAAAGGACAACCCCCGATAAAAATCAACCAGGAAAATCTGCTTCATCCGGGGTTAGCATTAGGAAGAGCCCTCGACTTGCCCTGCACTTCCCCCGCTGCCTGGCTGCCTTGCAGCGAAGATTTCTACGTCTAAGGACAGCTAGGTGAAACCCCTTTACCGTTTCTTTTTTGGTGAGGGTTCCCGTACTAAAATCCCTTATTGTCTAGCCTCTCTACTGGACCTCGTGCAGATCCGCCGCTCCATCCCTCGCTTTCGCTCGCTGATCCAAGGTGCTGGAGGCGGGCTGGTGGCCTGGCACTCGGCGGTTTAGCATCCGAGGATGCGGAGGGCGGGCGACCCCAGATCTTCCCCAGAATTAGTTCCCCCTTTTGCTTTATTGCTTTTTGGGAGTCCCCTTTGTTTTCCACTAACCAGGCAAAAAAGATACCTTTTTTGCTGGGGTCCCAATTCCAGCCCAGAGATCTAAGCAGAACCCCTGGTTGATTTTGATCGGGGGGTGTTTTTTGCTTTGAGTGGTTGGATTCAGACCACTTTTGGAGGGAAAACACCCCCCTAAAAATGGGACAGGTTTATTAATCCCGGGTCAACATTAACCACTCCCTATATTGCTCTTTTATCGTTTCAAAAACATCGCCTGCTTGGCCCATGAAAGGTGAGTGTCCCTTGATGGGGGTGGTGTTTCAAGGGGAAATATAGGGAGCCCTGTTTCAGGGGACGTCGGCCCTCTACGAAACAAGGGATCGTTTTTTTTTCCCCATGGAAACCCGAAACCGGTTGTTCAAAATATACCCTAGAAGAAGGCGGGCGTTTGGAGTAGGGGGTCAAACTCGCGTGGAGCTAAAGGAAAGCCAAAGGACACCGCAGGTTGTGTGTGTGTGTGTGTGTGTGTGTTTGTTTTTGGGTGGGGAGGGGTTCTTGTTTTCACACTCGCGCACATACACACAGATGTATACATATATATTAATATATAGAAATGTATATGCATACGCGGACATTGTTATATTCACGCTTCACTGATTTATGGGGTTGAAGAATCCCTTCTTTTTTCTTTAAACATGGGGTTGAAGGTACGGATGAAGCTCAAGCGGAACATCCCCATAAAGATAGGACGGGATTTCCATGGGGTCAACATCAGGGCTTGGGGTGTTAGGGGACCGCCCCTGTGGTTTATGCTTTTTTTAGGACCCGGGACCCTCTAAATCAAAGAGGCTTCCAAAGTAGTCTTATGAGCACCCCTCAAGATGTAACTTGAAGGGGCCCAGGTGTGGTTGCCTGAGTCGTAGTCTTAAGGCTTGTAGTAACACTGGCCTCGCCGGCCTTCCCATGTGCTTTTGGGGAAGAAGGTCTGTTGCCCATGGGAATGAAACAGACGACGACCTGGGGGTACATCGGGCGCTTTGAGCGGGTGCCAAATCGATTTCGGAGGTCGGACTGCGGCTATGTCCTCGGCCTGCTGCTCGGATGTTTCCGGGGGTCCCAAAGAGCGAGTTCCTTTGCTTGGGGTCCACAAGGATGGTCATCCACCTGGAAAGGATCCTTAGTAACCACCTGCATCGCCAGTTGTGATCGCTTTTTTGCATGAACTTTACCCCAAAAACCAGCAACAATGACCGAACAGAGCAGCAACTTGGCCATCTAGGCATGAGAAGATTCCTAGTATGGTTGGAGGAAATCCATTTTGCACCACCCAAGAAATTCTGGAATGATGAAGTCCCCCTGCAACCACCAATGGACAATGGCTTCCCGCGGTTTCTAAACGGTGCGTTTTCTGGATGTCGCAACCATCCACAGTTATTACCGGAACCATGACCCAATCGACCTTTGACCATGTTGCACACACGTGGTTGGCCAAGAGACTGCCGAAGGCTAAGACAAAGTGCCAGCTCTGCATACACCTGAAGGTGTCTGACGGTAAGGCTCCAACACATCTTGGCTTTGAGCTTGCTTTCCGAAAGCGCTATATCTAGAGTACGTATTTCAACCGGTACTAACTTAGGGCCATAGCACGGGGGAGCCATGGGAAGATCATAGCCCCAAATGGTCCTACTGGCACTGCCAGGATTCAGCAAGGCAGCTCGCGCAGGCAGATTCAAGTTGCCTTTGTTCACACGGTTTTCTTGCGCAGCGCGGTCCTTAAGGCAAAAAGCAACCCTCACCCAACCTAAGCCATAAACCAACACAAAACGCACCCTACACCGGCCCTGGCCCCGTTGGAAACCAGTCAGGTGCCATAAGAATCGGGGGATTTCTTCGGAGGAAAGACATGCGGGGTGAAAGTGGACCCCCCCAAAATGGCGCAACGCCTTCTTCCAAAAGAAATCTAACAAGGCTTCAAAAGTGATAAATCCCCACGAAAACCAGTCCCTATATAAAAAAAAATGTTTTTTTTCATCCGGGGTCAACATGAAACTGAACTGGCGGGACTGGTGCCAACCACTTGATTGAATCCACCGTGCCAGCTCCAAAAGACGGCTTCCGGACAGCGAGCGGGGTGTGGGTTTTCCAACGTGCGCGCCCGAAATGTCGAGGTGTCTCAAATGCCTTGTGGCGATTTCAAGGGGAAGCAAACGGAAACCACCCAGTCTAGGGGTCCAATTCCACTGTGAGCACACAATGAGTTTCTCTTTGGTTTCCTTTGCGAGATGTAGACATCGGACCAAAAATGGCGGTTTTCCTGTAGGCTTCCCTCTGCAACCAGCAGAAGGGGTCGCTCAAGAGACACACCGAAGCTTCGCAGATTTCGCAGGAAGCATGACAGACTTTGGGGGTGGCTGTGCGGGGGCCTCAGGGACAGAGTTTGGCAAAGTTTGAGACCGAACGCATCTGCTGTGATCTTGTCTATGTGAGTGGCCTTGCGCTTGAGGCTGCGGGGGAGGCGTGGATCGGTCCACCTGCCGCGGTTGGCAAACTCTGGGGGGGTGGAGGGGGGTGGGCGTGGGCCTACGCATCCCCAGCATCACCGGCATCATTTGCAAAAGCTTGGCACGCAGACAGAGCCTTGATTTGGAGGCATTTCAGCCTGGCTGTGAGCATGATCGCAATGGGTTTCTGTTCATTGTTTTGGACGCCTACGTCATGATGTTCTAGTGATGTTTTTTTTGGACCCCCTTTTTTTTTGATGTTTTAGTTTGGGCGGCATGACTGGAAGCCCCAGCACTCACTCTCCACCATCGAGGCGTTTCGCCTTCGGACACCCGACGGAAGCCACTCGTAGATTGATCGGCTTTTGACTCGGGGGAGGTGTTCCCATTGATTGGTTTTGGCGTTCATTTGCGCCTGCCTTGGAAGACGTGGGCCAAGCCAGGAGGATGTTTTCGGGATTCTTGGGGCCAGTTTCTGGTTGTTTTGTTTCTTTGCTGCTCATTCATCTTGTGATATCGATTTGCCTGTAGGTTCGGATTTTTGGGTTCTGTTGGTTTTAGTGTTGCGAAGGGTACGAAGTCCTCTTCTAAGACACCCAGATTTGGTAAGTTCTCCGGGATCTCTTTTGTGAAAGCATTTTACATATTTGGGCGCGCCATCTTTAGGAATCGGACCCCCATAATGGTGGTGGTGTTCCCATTGGTTCCGCTTAAAAACTCCACAAAAGGGGTGCCCTCAAAAGAAGAGGCACGATACGGGACAGACATGTCCCTTTTTCATTGGGATCTTTGACCATGCCTCCTTGCTGCAGCTTGCAGAAAGAACGAGAACTGCAACCCAGGCCGGCTTGTCCGTGGATGTTGGAAGGCAAGCAATGGCGGATTCCCCAACATCGCATCTTTCGACTGCGCGCAAGCTGAGGTAGTTCCCCCTCCAAGTTCGTTCAGGAAGGGCAAGGGAACCCGACAATGGCTTCTTTTGGTTTTTGTTCTGACCCTACGTTGAGGTAACTCCTAATTGGCTTAGATTGGTGGCTTGGATTTGGATTGGAACCCGTTCTTGTAGAGGTTGAATGCTTCAAGCCATCAATCCGAACCACTCTCAAAAAGAGGTAAAGGGCCAGGGTACTTAGCATGTGGTTAGTAAGCCTGGGTGTAATCCGGTTAATTAACTTTAGGAGACGAAAAGGCCATGGCTTTTGAGGGGTAACCACGGGTCTTCACTTACCAGACCTGGTTCTTTGGAGCTACAATTCCCTTTACAAAACGATAAGGCCATGGCTTCTGTGGGCAATGGGTCTTCCCCACAGGCCGTGCATCCACGGATCAGTTCCTTGGTACCCTCTCGCCGGGTGCGTGGTGCCTAGCCGGGTGCGTGGGCAACCGAAGCGGATGGGCTCAGAGCTCGCTTCGGATGGAAGCTTCGGACCTCCCCAGCGAGGAGGAGCGGGCGGCTTGGGGTCGGGAAGCCAATTTTGGAGGTTGGTTGCGAGGGATGGATTTTTTGCATGGAAGCCGGGAGGATGCGGATTTCCTCCAGGTCCCCTCTGGTTGAAACAGAAGCCCAAGGAAGGTTCGCAGGACCTCGATCTGAAGTACTTTGAAACAAAACCTTCGAGGCTTAAGCTGAGGGCTTCAGTTGGCCGAAAAACACCCATCATTTGGCAGGAGCACGCCTTTTGGCCCTGTTCGAAATTTGGCGTTTCTTTGGCGAGGCCAAGGTGCTTCTTGCCGCCAAGCAAGCCGCAAGCGCGGGTTCTTTGGGGGTGCTTCGAGCAAGTGCTGCTTGCCGATCCGGACTTGCTGAGCTCAAAGGCTCAGGCGACCGAGCGAAGTGAAGGAATCAGGTTTCGCAACTTTCGGTTCGCCCCAAGAGGTGCGACCGAGCCGAGCGTTTCCAGGTAGCACTCGCAAGCCGGAAGGAGGTTGCTTGAACCTGTGGGCTCTTCAGCCGCGTGGTGGGGGTGGGGGGGGAGGTGCAGACAAGCCCCTGCGCAATAAGGCCCAGTGATCCAGTGCGAAACATATAGCAAGAAAACCAGCCCTACTCAACCCAGAAAAAAACTCACGACCAAATAACCCCCCCCCCGCATGGTACCCGCGGAGCGAAAAGAAGGTGCAGGGGAATCATCATTCGAGGGTGTCTTAGGTGGTGCGAAATGGATTTGGTCCACCCACAGTATGTCCATTTTTTGTTGGCATGTTTTTTTTTCTCCAGGTTTGCGCCCCGCTTTTTGTCCTCCGGCCGTTTTGGAGGCCGCGGCCTCGTCCGGCTTCGTCCGACGTGTGTCGGGCGTCGGGCGGCCGGGCGGTCGAGGACCTGGGCCGGTGGCTCACGGCGCTGAGCGCCCACCTGGCCCGGGACGCAGCGAGTGACCGGCGGCGGGAGGTGGAGCAGCTGCGCCAGGCGGGGGCGGTGGGTGAGGCGGGTGAGGGGGGGGAGGGGGGGGAGGGGGGGGGGAGGGGGGGAGGGGGGGGAGGGGGGGCTTGGGGAGGGTTGGGGCAGGTGGAGGTTTGGTTGCGGATGGATGGACCCGTGCTGATGAATAGGGTGTTTTGCTGGGGGAAATGTGGGGAGTTATTCATTTTGGGGGAAGGCGGGGGAGGAGGGCTGGGGGGGTAGGTTGGGGGTGAGGTTGGGAGGAAGTGAATGGATGTTTTCAGAATGAAAACCACCCAACGGGTTTCGTCTTGGAGATTTTTTCATAGAAAACCCCTGAACTTGGGTCGTTTTTTTTTTTTTTGTTGGCTTTTTGGGCTTTCTTCAAACGGCCTTGCCACATTCTCCAAATACCATTGTTGTTGTTTTTTGGCGGGGGTATCATGCCAACCCCTGCCGCAACGGGAGGAATTTGCCATGGAAAGCCAGAGGTTTTTCAAAACACACCCCTTCGCGGCTCAAAACAAAAAACACAAAAAAGAAAAACAACAAACATCCAAACATGAGTTGGTCTGTTGGAGCCTTCAACCCATGTTTTTCCGCGTTCCCTTTCTTTGGCCGCGGGCCGGCCATGCTGAATTCGATCGCCCGACGCCAAAACAGAAGCCACTTCTCTGGGTCTTGTGTTCTTCATGAGGGGTTCCCCTGGCTGGTGGCATGCCTAGGGAAACCCCAAAAAGAGAGAACCACCATTTTCGTTTTTTTTTTTTTGGGGGGGTGGTTTCGTTTCCGCCCCCCCCGGCGAGAAAACGAGTGGCCGAGAGGTGGTGCTGGGCAAGGCCGAGGAGATCCGGCAGGCCCAGGCGAGCCTCGGGAGCCGAAGCCTGGGACGTGCCGTGCGGCGTTCTGGGGGCGTGCTCGGAGCGTGAGGTTCGGGAGTCCAACGAAAAGGAGGTCCCAGCCTCTGGGCTTTAAAACAAAAAACAAGCAAAAGAAAGCAGGAAGAGGACACCAGCTTTGGGGCTTTGAAAAAGAAAACCAACAAAAACAGGAGAGGAAGCCGGCTTTGGTTCTAGGCTCATTGTTTCGGGGTCAAGCCAAAAAGTCTCATTTGCCGAGAATGAAAATTAAGCCCGGGCTTGAGAACTAGTTCTGCAACCATAGACTTGTCTTTAACGTGCCCCAAATTCCAAGTCCTCATTTCGCCCTGTCTCAATCAGGTAACCCCGGATTCGTTGGATGGGTGGTTTGGATGTGGAACTATGAGGCCAAGGAGGGAGACATGGACCGCCCCCCTATATAAAACCATCCATCTGCCGGTTTCCTTTATAAAGGAGTCCCCGGAAAAGAAAAAAAAAAAAAAAAAAAAAAAAAAAACGGGAAGCCGTTCCAGCTTTCATTCCCATGCTCACTCCCAACGTGGCCACATTGCGGTAACTCCCAAACTGGAAAATTGAATCAGGTACAGGGGAACCCCCTGCGTGAGCTCAGTTCCCGATTTCGGGGCTTCCGTAGGGTAGTCTCTGCCCGCGCTGCTCGCAGCTGTCGCACCAGCTGGTGCCCAGATCACCGCAAACCACACGCTCGCGGGCAAGGAACGCTCGCGCGAGTTTGGGAGGCCCCCACCGTCCCCCTACCCGCCCACCCCTTCCCATCACCCACCCAACCCCCCCCTCCTCCCCTCCTTCCCATCAAATCGATCCGATTTCGGAGGCCAAGGAGACCTTGGAGTTCCGCCTGCTGCTGGTCTCAGGCTGCGAGCTGGGCAGCGTGGAGGTGCCGCGGCTCAGCTCCGCCCGGGGCCCCGGGGCCCGAGGGCCCGAGAGAGGCGTCTGACGAGAGGTGCGCGGCAGACGCCGAGCGTGAGACACGTGGGAGGGGGCGGAGAAAGGCGGAAAGTGTGGGGGGGAGGAAGTCCACAGCACGCCTTTAGATATATACATATGTATATACATATATATATATATATGTATATATTAAAACCAAACTTGTTTTGTGGTGTTTTTGTTTTTTAGATCTGGGCTGTTCCAAATGGTGTTGGCCAATCCGATTTTCCAGACCCCAGCAGATCTTCGAAAACATCACTCGGACAACATAGCGTTTGTTGGGTATTGACAGGAGATCATCAGTAAACCCCCCCCCCCCCACCCCCCCCCCCCCCCAAACAAAAAAACAAAATCTTCCAAACTTGGAAGCCATACATTCCGCTATTTTTTCGGGCTGGGTCCGACTGTCCAAGGTTGGCTTTGAGAAAAAACCAGATCCTGGTCGCCAGTTGCGATCGTTTTTTTTTCTCCATGAACTTTTCCCCAAACACCGATCGCAACAGTGGCTGAAAAGAAAAAAGGCGTTCGCAACTTGGCGATCTAGGCATGGCTTTGACTTGACCCCCCACAAAAAAAAAGAAAAACGAGCTTCCTAAAAGCCGCGTTGGAGACGTTTTTGGGCTGCGGGAGGTGGCGGATGTGAAGGCCGCGGCCGCCCCGCTCTTGGACGAGGCCGCTCCGCGAGTTCCTGACCCATCGACTTCCATTTTTCCCTGAGAAGGAACCAGGGGTAGACTGAGGATCCAGTGTCTGAAAGTGAAGCGAGCAATAAACGATTGATATATTCTAGAGCTGGGCCTAACTGTAATCATGTAACC